CTCACGTGACGCCAAAAATACATCAGTGTCGTGAACGGTACATACAAGAGTGCTATACATTTAGCTGCCTCGCATCTTGAGGCAAAGTCGATAAACGTGCTTTCCCTTTCCACAAGAGCAAACCGCATTGGGAGCTCCTTCCAAAGATTCCACATGTCTGGTGACGTGACCTGCACGGTGACCGGTGACGTCATCTGTGCATCTCAGTGACCGGCCGCGTGAACAAACACGGCGTATGGCTTGAAGAAAAGCAAGCCGCGCGCCGAGTTACCAAGCGGGTTTTGTCTGTGAGCTGCCGTGTAGCGGACTGGAGCGACAGCCTCTGCACGTACGCCGACGAGCGTTCACTTCACACCTCACATCGGTCCCACATCCCACACCGACCTCACCCCTCTCACATCGATCTGACGCCTCACATCGACTTCACACCTCACATCAACGCCACACCTCACATTGACCTCACACCTCACATCGACCTCACACCTCACATCGACCTCACGCCTCACATCGACCTCACACCTCACATCGAGCTCACACTCCACATCGACGTCATATTCCACATCAACCTCACACTCTCACATCGAGCTCACACTCCACATCGACCTCACCCTCACATCGACCTTATATCTCCCATGAGCTGCGCCGGCGGCGCGCCCGGCGACACCGTCGGCCATGGAGCTAGAATCGCTTTTGAACTAGGGTGGGAGTGAAAAATTCCACCGCAAAAAGACCGTGCGGGAGTGAAAAACCCATTCACAAAAAACGGAACTTATGAGCTGGTGACGGATGCTTCAGCAAACAAAGACATCTATTTCATGTTGACATGGACGTAATATCAGAAAACTGACAAAACTATTTCGTTTTTTAACATCTTAGGCCATTAAAGCGAAACAGAATACATAAACACGCGCTCGGGTGGGGGGAGGGGCAAATTATCGCCCCCCCCCCCCCCGAGGGCTTTTCCCGAACGGTTTTTGAACAGTGCGGCGTAGCCGCGCCACATTTTGTTTAGCTGTAGAAAATTGCATAGCGGATCGTTTGTCATGCAAATTTTAGATGTACCTTGTAAGGTCGCTGGCCTATGACAGGTCAAAGTCACCCCATGGTTTAAGCGAAGGCAATTTCTAGGGAATCGTTCAATCTGATACAACAACGGAGTGTTTGACGAAGACATACATATCTGAAATGCCTTCTTAGGCACCACAAATATTGAATGAGCAAATTACGTTGACCTAAGTTCAGGTATAATGGTCAGACCAATTTCAAAACCAACCTGATTTATTACTCTAAGGTTTGCCGCATGGGATGGTTCCTGGTGCTCATTTCGAAGTTATTGACAGCAGGAACTGCATTACACATTTTCAGTTGACTTCTCAAAGATCAGAACGGGCCATTGACCTAACACGACCCGGGTCGAACATTTTGTTTTTGGAACATACTGCCGAGCGTAATCTTTGTCGCTTATTCAAATGAAAACGCGGAGCAGTCTTGTATTATCTTGGTCACCATGACCTTCAAAGGGTCAAACAAGGTCAATGACCTCAAATGGGCTTGTGACCTTTTGCTTAAGACAGTTGCCTAGGTTCTGGGGGCGCTTTGAAGAGCAGCCTGGATTTTGACCTTGTTTTACCTCATTCGACCTGAAGGTCATGACCTAGGAAGCTGAAACCTTAACCTAAGTGAGTTTGCGTATAGGTTAAGACACCCTGTAAATTTGGTGCCTCTAGCTTTCTTAATTCACGAGATCTCAGAGGGGGGTCCAAATTGACTCCCCACACCCGAGCGAAGGGTGTCTAGCCGGCCAACTGGGCGCGCGTTAAAACGTAGTAATTTCATGACAGTATTATGGGCAAAACAAATAATTAACACCAATAATTTGATGCTGCACTTTTTAATTCCCTACCACAGCACTTTTCAAACAAAACAAAGCAAAGGAATTCAATTACAATATGACAACAGAAAATCCAAGAAGCATAAAGCACTCAAACAAAAAAAAAACATTGGACTCCAACACATCAGCCCATCACCAAATCAAACACAATAGACATACTTCTGGCTTCTGTTAAGGTGGGGTCAGGGAAGAAAAACATTTTGTCACTGTTTCTCACAAAATACCTACGCATATTTCCATGAAGGTAGCCTATGCCTAACCCAAAGAGGCCTTACGTCATCTCATCCCGTATAACCAATTTACATCACAGCAGGAGCTGTGAGCTACTCATTCTTGCACAATTCCTGTTGCCACTTGCCATGAACTTGACCAACTTAACCTAACTTAGAGTAGCCCGTATGATGAACATGATCTCAACTCAACTGTCTGTTGACAGCAGCACTTGTGATAAAAACATGATATTTAGAGCTAGCTTTTGGCTGGTTTCAACTTGCATTTTTATTCAGTTCATTTGTGTATGCTTATTGACATCAGTCAAAGTTGACAACACACAAATCAAAAATGTAAAATCACTTTGAAGAACGTATTTTGATTTCCATGGTTAACCTATGTCAATGGCAATAATGGGTATACTACACAAGACAGTCTCTTCTCCAAAAATAACATATATGTTAGATTAGATTAGATTTGGACCAGTATTGCCGCTTGCCTTTTCAGCTGCAGCAAATGCATCCATTTGGGCTTCTTTATTCATATTTAATGACAAAGTTTGAGATGTTGGTTTCACATTTCAAATGCGGTGGTCTGACTATTTGTTACATGCCAATATTTAACTCATGTTATAATTGCTAAGTAGCTGAGAGTATCGCTGTGTTAAAAATATAGTGCATATATACAGTACAGTCATTTGCCGGTCAGCAAACCATGACAACCACATCAAACATCTGGTTAAAGCAGCCATGACGGGCCACTTTAAGAAAGTTGGGGCAAACAACCAAGAACATGGAACAAAATAGGCCCATTGCATGTGTTGTGGCATCATAATTTGTCTTATGGGAAAACTCGATGCATTAAAACTGAAAATGGCTAGCTCTGGTTACCAATCATGTGTTGGAAGCAGGTAAGGTAACCAATTACTTGGTCCACAGGAGACTTGCCGGCTTCTTCCTGCTCCTCCACAAACAAAAATTCAGTACCTCTTGCATGGTCTGCTGGCAGACAGAGTCATCCGACTCACCCCCCAAATATAAATGTCGATCATGCCCACCAACCTTCGAGATTAAAATCCGAAACAAGTGAGAGGTGCGCATGACAAACATCTCCAGAGGGCAGAATTTGGCCATCACACACTTCTGTATTAGATGCGTCAGGTCTGCCCCAAGGCTCTTTGTGGCAGCAAATCCTAATGCTGCCATACAGAGGCAGCGTTCGGCAAGGCCATTCTAAGCCTTGCCAGGTGGCCTGGTAAGTCAGACACCCGAAAAGCTTGAATGTATCCTTATTGAGCACCGCCATGAACCAAAAAAAACAGTTAACCGTAGGTTTAGGAGGGCAAAAATGGCGTTAAAAAATAAATTCCGTGCTTCAAATTGTCTCTTTCATTCCCTGTGAATTGTTCACGCTTGGGTGTATATCAAACATGTTTGGGCGGCTGGCGAATTACTTCAATTTATGTATGAAATACGTACAAACTTGCAGTTGTAACATCTTGCAGAGAAATTGGTCAACATTTTAAGCAGCGAGTGGTACCTCTAAAGACCATCCAAAAAGAAGAAAGAATAAAGTGGTATCACACTGGTATGACACCAAGAAAAACGTAAGTAGCTGAATAAACAGAAATACTGGTACCTCTCTCGCAAAATTTGTGATCAGCTGATTTTGCTTGAAATCTGTTAATAGAAGTGCTCAAATGGTGACATTCATCTCATTATTTTAATCTAGAAGACATTTCTTGAACTTTTCACTCATGCATTTCGGGAGCGATGTAATTTAGTGGTCAAGTTTCCTGGGGAAGAAAGAAGTACGTAGAGTAAAATTCTCTACCAGGCCTTGCTGGTGTTTGCTCCAGGCTCTGCTTATGTGGTGTGGTGGTGAGACCATAAAGTAGGGGATGCGTGAAAACCTTGCATTTGGCGCACAGCTGCAGATTGTGATGTGTTTTGTAAACAAACCAAACTTAATGCGTGAAAGCGGCTGGGGTCGCTGGGGTTTATGGGCTTGGAGGTACCTGGCGCCCTTGTTCTGTGCGTGCATAGACATGATTCAGATTTAGGTGAAGAACGACATAGCCATAGATGGCCAGGTACTGCGGAGCCTCGTTTATGCTTGGTGGATTCGAGTGAGCTCGGCTTTGGATGTCTGAAAACCTCAGAAAGGGGAATAGGGCTTTGGCATGTGCGATTAGACAATGTCAGGCAGGAGTGACAATTCACATAAAATATGGGGAAAAGGGGTGAAAAGTTCCTCGTCATAGGGTGCTACTTTACACCCAAAGTCGGCAGTTCTAGGACACTGCCGTCGGCCGCCAGCTGGCGGCAGCCTTGCCCTGTCATTGGGATCGCGCGGCGTTGTTTACGCCAGATTGTCGCCGTTGGCTCCTGTCCCATTACGTCACCGAGTGTTGGCGGCGGCGCAGCCGGCACAGCGCTGCCGACGGCCGAGTGCGCCAGGCGCCGCTCCAAGATCGCTGCCAGGCTCACTCTCGCCCCGCTGCAACCGGGCCCGGCGCTGTGTCGGCTTGGGAGGGTGACTCCAGTGCTCGACGGTTGACCTGTCGCGCAAAGTCCGGGTGGTGATCGAGTCGTGTCTTGTCGTGTCTCACGGTGTCTGGCCGTGTCTGCTAGTGTCTGGCGGCGTCTGGCGGTGTCTTGGCGGGGTGCAGACCATTCCAGGTCGGCGCGCTGCCCGACCGCTGCCAGACGTGGGAAGCACCCTGATTGTTCCGCGGGTAAGCGCCACAAGTGTCATGGTCAGCCACCGTGCCGCCAATAGTCGCTCGACCGTCTCGGCCGACGACCAGCGCCCGCCGGCCAGCGGGGAGCGCGTGCCGGGCTTGCGAGCTGGTGGGTCGGAGGGCAGAAGCCGCCTCCCCCTCCCGACGCCCCGGAGCATGACCGGCACCGAACACCGGGGTGACGAGGCGGCGGACGGAGACGGCACTCCCGACGACGCGCCACGGTCGGGGACAGTCGGCGGCCGGGTGGCGCTGAAGCCTCGCAGTCACGAGCCCGAGGCGAGGAGCGCGAGTCGCGAGTCGATGGCCTCGACCCTGACAGACGAGCCCGCTCGCGAGGCGGCAGCGAGCCCGAGTCACGAGTCGCCAGCGGCAAGCGTTGGCAACGAACCGGCCCGTCAGCCGACGGCGGGGCAGGCGGCGCCGCTCGAGCCGCCGGTGGAGGACTCCGCCTACAGCTGGGTGATCGCCGGCGCGGCGGCGCTGCAGTTTGTGCTGGTCGGCGGCATCCACAAGTCGTTCGGTCTGGTGCTGGCGGCGCTGGTGCAGCGCCACGGCTTCACCGCCGCGCAGGTGTCCATCATCCCGGCCACGTACCTTGCGGTCAGCTTTCTCGTGGCGCCGCTGTGCGGGGCCCTCTGCCGCCGGCTCTCCGAGCGGAGCGTGGCCGTGCTCGGCGGCCTGTGCTCCTCGATGGGGCTCGCCCTCAGCGCGCTCACCAGCGACGTCCACCTCCTCTACCTTACCAACGGGCTCATCTTCGGTCTAGGCCAGGGCTTCTCCAACGTGCCCGGCACCCTGCTTGTGACGCAGTACTTCGTGAAGCGACGTGGTCTGGCGAATGCCATCATGGCGGCGGCGGCTGCCGTCGGTGGCGTGTTTTTCCCACTGCTGGTGCAGCTGCTGCTGGAGGAGTACGGAATCAGCGGCACGTACCTGATGCTGGGGGGCTTGCACATGCACACGCTCGTCTCGGCGGCGCTGTACCGGCCGCTGGAGAAGCAGCGAATGATCATGCGGCTGGACAGGAGGCGGTGCTCGAGGAGACTGAAGACGGCCGACAGGGCCAGCGCACCGATCCAGGACGAATGCAAGAAACAGGCGCTGGTTAACGGCAATGACAACGGAGCTGGCGCCGTCGCCTCTCAGCCAAACGGCGCGACTCACGTGGGCCCGGCGGCCGCGGCGCTGGTGAGCCGCGCACACCTCGCGGCCTCGGTCGTGCAGCTTGACCCGCAGGACGAGCCCACCGCCCGCCGCTGGTCGACAGCCGGCGGCGAGCACACCAAGGCGGCCGAACAGGAAGTGCTGATGGCGCCAACGCCGCGCCGCCGCGCCAGCACCGCTCTCAGCGTCTCGTCTGCCTGGCTGAGCCAGCTCAGCCTGATGGCCCAGCTGCCGCCAGCGCCGGCCGCGCCAACCGGCTGCTGGGCCCAGCTGTCCCGCCTGCTCGACCTGCGCCTGCTGGCTGACCCGCTGTACCTGGCCTGCCAGCTGAGCGTGCTGCTCTTCTCCGCCGGACTGCCGCACGTCTGCCTGCTGGTGCCTCGCTTCGGCCTCGAGATCGGCATCAGCCGAGGCCGCACTGCCAACATGATCGCCACCGTGGCGCCCATCGACATCCTCAGCCGGCTGTCCCTCGGCCTGCTGCTCGATCGCAACCTCTTCCACAAGCGGTACGGCTTCTTCATCACCTGCCTGGTGGGCGGAGCGGGCATTCTTGCGCTGGTGTTCGTTCGCACGTACGCCGGTCTGTACGTCGCCTGCACGTTCGTCTACGCCGGCATCGGCTTCTTCTTCGTGGTGATGCCGGTGATGTACGCCGAATACTACGGCGTGGAGCGCCTCTCGTCCACGCTCACCATGTCCAACATGTTCTCGGGCGTGGCTAACCTGGTGGCGCAGCCGCTGTGTGGTTTGCTGCGGGACTCGACCGGCTCGTTCCGACCCGTGTTCGGCGTGCTGGCGGCGTGCATGCTGACGGGCGGGGCTGTCATGCTGACGCACCCCTGCATTGAGCGGGCGCGGCCGCGGAGAGCGGGAGGCGAGCAGGCCGCCTGATAACGGCGGGGGGGGGGGGGGACCGGCGGACCGGCCGGCAGTGCGGGAGTGGACCGGTGGACCGGCCAGCAGTGCGGGAGGGACCGGCGGACCGGCTGGCAGTGTGGGAGGGGACCGGCGGACCTGCCGGCAGTGCAGCTTCCAGAGCGGGAGCTCTTACTGCTCGGTTACTGAGCACGACAGCTTAGCGTGTGACTGTGATAAGTCATGAGCTGAAGCAGAACGCCGTGGGAGTTAGTAATCAGTGGTATGAAACGCCTATCTTTTTGTGAGCCGATGACTTCAGGCCAACAACCAGCCGAGCGTGGCCGCGAAGCCCGCATCTCGCCGGCATGGGCTCAGAGCACGCCTCGTACCATGACTTCTAGCTCGGGAACCTGCCAAGTCAGCGGCACTAGGGTCTGAGAGACCACACTTGAGTGCTCTTCATGACAATAACGTGCTCAGTCGGATTCTGTGTTACAAGATAACAGCGGTCATAAACGGCGAAAGCCTCGTATGACTCATTGGATTCAAGGGACAGACTGAGCTTTGGTGGCGACGCCGGTGATCTGTGATGGTGATGTCGCTGATCTCTGGCGGTGATGGCGGTGATCTGTGATGGCGATCCCGCTGATGTGTGGTGCCGATGTCGCTGATCTGTGATGATGATGCTGCTATGAATGGTGGTGGTGCCGTTCATCTTTGGTGGCGATGTCGCTGATCTGTGATGGTGATGTTGCTATGTATATTGGTGATGTTTATTTTTGGTGGCGATGTCGATGATTTTTGGTGCGTTGATGCCGCTGATCTGTGGTGGCGATGTCTAAGGTTATTGATTCGCATTCGTTTGTGAGGACCCTGGCTGCCCCCCCCCCCCCCCAACGTAAAGTTACCACCCCTCCCCCTCCCCCTCCTCACCAAAACCTCTATTGGCTCGGGCGTCCCATAATTTTTGTGTCTGAAATATTAGAAACGCGTAGGGAAAAGTTAACCATCACACGACAACCTTCTTTGACGGCCGCAGTGAGGTAGCCATGGAGGGTGCAACGGGGCAACTAGACCTCGCAACCTGAAAACTATTCCACGGAATTGGTAACTAAAATCATCGATAGCGAAGCATTTCTCATCAAAATTTGTTGTTGTTTTGTCTGTCAAAAATAAGCCCAGGCGCTGTCTCTACCCACAGCCCAAACATGATCTTGACGCTAGTAATTCCCCCGTCTCGTGGTCTCTTATGAGACATTAGGTACCTTTGGTCCCCCCAACCCCACCCATGGTGGGGTACGAACCTAACATTGTTTTACTTGAAGTTGAAGCCTGAAGTGCCTTATTCCAAGATCTCACGAGAAAGCAAGGTCGGATAGGATGTTTCTGGCGCGGCGTCATTAGTCCAAGTTAAAGGCCCAGTTCAGCTATAAAATGATGACGATGCAATAAACACAAGTCCTGCTCAGACGAATTCTTAATTTGATTCTGCGTTGAACATGGTTTATTGCCAGCTCTCTGAATATAGGATCCATCGTTGTAATTTATGTTGAACGGATCCATTTCACCACCGTCATCATCGGAGCAGTACGAAAGGACCTATAGTGTGTCATACGGCCACACGATTATCGGCTGTCCTGTGGCCAGACTGATACTGACAAGCCAAAGGCCAAACGGCCCTTTTCGACGAGTCATGTTCGGACACTTACTCTGTAAGGTGAGCCTGTCACCACGCGTTTCCCCACATCACGAATGTGGTCAGTATAAGTTCAGCATTCTGCCGAAGTTGGACTTCCGTCACGATGATTGGTGTGTCTTTGCGGCAATAAAGATCTATTTGCGAGCATTTTACTCATTGCAGCCAACTGGCTCGCAGAGAGGCGGCGCCTGCAAACTGCCCCCATACTGACTATCTTTGTCAAGAGATATCATCACTTACCTCGAAAGCAATCAAGGATAGATATACTCGAATGAATGCATGACACCATTCATTGGGATAATGACGCTGTTTGCTTAATTCCTTGCGCTTTTCTGCCATTGTCCATTCCTTGCACGACCTCTGCAACCGTGACACTCCATTGGGCATTTAAGATTTTTGGATAATTGGACCCTCTCAGAGGTTTCACCTCGAAACCTAATAGACCTACGTCTTTTGCTTCAGCACGCGGCGGACCGTCCTACATGCGACAGCTTGGCATTAAAGACTTTCAAAATATTTAACTTTACCGTTTGAAACAACTTGACATCACCAAGCAATGAACTTTCAAAATGTCACGAGTGAAAATATCCAGACATAAATAACATTGGGTCGTGAAAAAGTATGTTAATAAAAGGGCAAGGCTCGCGTTGTAGTTGGGCCCATTGCACATTCTTGCGCCTTCAGGTGCAGCAAAATGTTAGGCACTCTCCACAGCGTGCAACCAAATGCTGATGTCTCTTCTGCTTTAAATTCCTTTTTGCGGCATGCTTGTCCATGTATAGCACAATGTACTTTTACTGAGATAGATTTTTTGTCCTTTGAATTCTTTTGTAGGTTGACTTTTACCTTGGCGCCATCAACACTTTATCCTTGTACTGTCTTCTGGTTCAACTTTAATCCCTGTCGACTTTTGTCCATTTCAACTTTTGTCCTTCAGCTTTTCGCAGATTTTACTTTTTGGCCTATAGACTTGCATCTCTTCCGACGTTTTGTGGTTATACATTTCGTTCGGCTTTTTTGGCAATCGCTTCTTATACCTTTTGATGTCAATTCCAACAATGTTTTCGATCAGACTTTGCCCCCGTTGACTTTTATCCCATTTAGCTATTTTTGGTCGACTTTTTCCGCCCGACTTTTTCCATTAGACATTTTTGTGCGGCAAGCACACGGGGTACGCACCCGGCGCGCGAGTAAAGCTCCACCAGTAACTAGCCTCATGAAGACAGCATGTCGTACAATTCTGGCGTAGTGAGTGACTTCTCAAGCTTTTACTTCCATTCCGGTCGCATACAGTAAAAGGTAGCTTTTTACTTCAACGACCGCAAAATTCCACTCTTTGTGGGAACATTTGAATTAAGGAGCTATTTCGTACCTTGCCAAGCATCCATCGGGTTTTATGAACGTACTTGACTTGACCCTGGAGCAGATATTCACTCCGAAACTGACTAAAAGCAAAAAGATGCTCTGGGCCGTCGTAAAATCAGCAGCGATCATAGAGGGGCCGGCGCACGGCCATGCAGAAATGGAGGGACAGAACGTTTAGACCGAAAACTGGTTGCGACGACGTTTTTTACGACGTTTAGACTGACAGCTGGTTGGTTTGCTGGAGATGTCAGCCGACTTCACCTGAGCTCATGGGCATCGCCTCGAGCTCTGGTGTCCCGGTCACTCACACAGTCAATCGCTGGCCCGGTACGGAATCGCATAATTAAGTATTTTCTTAAATTGTCATCGACAGCGGCATTCTTTGAATACGGCGCGGAGAGACACATTCAATACATATGATAAATTTTCGTTTGAGCAGAGGGCCGAGCTAGCCAGGATGCTGGCCAGCCGGTGGCCGGAGCGGGAGAACCAGCAAGCACGGGAAGCTATAGTTCTACCCTATAGCGAGGGCAAAGCCTGAGCCATGTGAAGAATCAGCGGCAAATGCAAGGTCAAAGCATACTTGAAAATACAGCGAACGATCACGCAAGTGTCTGTTCTCCCCACGGGCATCGGGCTAAAAAAGCCGACTCGTATTGCTTGTAAGATGGCTTGCAGGGTGTTATGTTAGGTTGGCAGGTTAGGTAGGTTGGTAAGATGGCATGTTAGGTTCCGTTCTGATTGCTCTGTTCTGATGGTCTACATTGGAGAGAATGGTCGAAATTCAGTGCAGAGAAGAAAGCAACACGAAGCATCTCACTCAGTCTGACAGATATTCGAGGATAGAGGCTACTGCTGCCACATGAACACAGGGCACACTATCGACTGTTACAACGCAGAGGGGCCAGCATTTGACATGCCTAGTGAACATAAATAAATTAAGAAGGCTTTCCACTACACGTGCGAGCCGCACGCAAACAAACACTCAACAGGAATGAAGGTAAGCACGCAGTTTACGTGAGATGGCTCAATCTGTTGAAGTTACAAAAGCGTTGTCATCTAAAACAAGTAGTAATTAAGTTATTAAGCAAAGTTAGTTAAGTTCACACCATCGCAAGTCTGCCGATTGTAATGGTGTATCATAATTGATCTTGTATTGTATTATATTGTATTATATTGTATTGCACCACGTGTTGGCTCATCCACCCACACTGATGGCTATTCAAGAGACTGGTCCAGATTTAAATGGGGTTTTGAACTGAGGTAGACATTGTCACCATCATTCCCTTCAGTTTGCAGCCAAGTCCTTTTCAATGCTTCAAATTCTCTCGCTTTTGGTCCTTATGCACGCGGAGATGTGCAGCACATCACGCGCCGCCTATGGGAAGGCCACCCACATGTGTATGACGTCATAGAAACGTCATGTGAACGCCCCACTTCAATGGCTGTGTTGTGCTCATGGTCCAGAAAAAGAAAATCACTTCAAAGGAGCATTCCGCCTTTTTTGTACTTGGTACTTTTTGTTGCATCAGATGTGTACGGTTCGGCCAGAAACATAAGTTTTCTGAAATTTGACTAGCTATTTTCACTAGCTTAGAATTTCTATATGAAGCTGCTGCAGAAATCTTAGTTGACTCCACGCTCACCAATATCAAAAGTAATGCATTTTAATTGGCCAACTTTTCGCAAGGTGTGTGTTCTGGCATGTTCGCAACACACTATTTTGGGGCGTTTGTGAGATGAATGCTACGAAAGCTTAAAATATTCTGTATAGACGCAAAAGCATGTGCATTGGTGATTGGTGAAGTATGTGCATTGGGTGATGGTGCATTTAGTATTTATCGTTTAATCGCCGATTTAATCGTTCTAGCCGCTGGGTGTGCAAAGTGTTGGCTGTCGAAGTTAGTCATTCTCAGTCACTCGGTCAGTACAAAGGAGGCCCACTGCTGAGGGGGGGGGGGGGCGGGGGGCGCCATCTTCAGGGCGCCATCCAGATCTGGTTGGGGCAGTTGGGGCTGCCCGAAATATCTCACTACTGCACAGTACAGTCACAAAGTTGAAATATTTTGCATTTGGGTTAACATTGGACCTGTCTCGCTGAAATGTTATTTATTTATTAATAAAGAAACCTAGCCGGCCAAGCAGATGAGCTAAGCTAAGCTACGCTTAACAGGTGAGCGAACTGTGCCGTCGCAGCGGCCGCAGTTTAGCAACTCTTTCTGTCGGTTTCAGACATGGTGCAAGGTGGTGCGATTTACGCCTTTACTTTTGCGCCTTTCTGACTGCGTTCATCTTTCATTGGATGCGTAATTCAATATACAGGATGATATCGGCATTGCGGTGGCGTGTCTGAGGGCATGGGGGCGAATGTACCCGGCTGATCTTCGCCGCTGAGTATCACGGCCACGCCTGGTGCGTCCGTGCACTCAACCCTTATCGCTCCCGTCGTAGTGACACTTGACCCTCACGCCACGCCACGCCCTGGGAGGGATGGGGGGGGGGGGGGGTGAGCACTGATGCCTGATGTACCATACTGATGCCTGATGCCCATACTGATACCGCTGAGTGTGTGTGGAGATGCCGCTGATCTAATGGCGATGTCGCTGGTCTGTAGTGGAGATGTCGCTGATCTGTAATGGAGATGTCACCTATCTGCGGTGGAGACGCCGCTGACCTAGATGTCGCTGATCTGTGGTGGAAACGCTGCTGGTCTGTGGTGGAGATGTCGCTGATCTGTAGTGAAGATGCCACTGATCTGTGGTGGAGATGCCGCTGATCTGGGGTGGCAATGTCGTGACGTCATGCGGTACAGTAATGCCAAGCTTAACCAATGTGCATGGATATGAACAACGCTTTGTTTGAGCACGCAAGCACATCTTTGGTAGGAGACGTATTGAGTAATTCAAAACTCTTATCTCCGACCGTTGTCTCCAAGATCCCTGGTTACTCGGCACCAGCTGCACGGTGGTCGTGGAAGGTTTCTGTCATGTTTCTTGCTGTATTTTTTTGCGGGTTGTGAATAAGATCCTCCGCGGTATTCGATTCTTATTTAACTTATGACATTGGAGGTGTTTCACAGATCATGCTGTTTCAGAGAACTGACCACTGATGGCAGAGCGTCTGATTTGGAGAAACCTACACGCGGGTCCCGTGATGATGCGACATTTTTCAGGGGTCACTGCTTAGTGGAATAAACTGATATCTTTCTGAGCGCTTAGGTTAGTGCAGCTGTTGAATAATGGGATCACTGTCATGTTTTATGTCAATGTTTCGGTAGCGAAATACAATGGAGAATGAAGTGCCCAGAAAAAACCGAATGAAGGACGCATGTGATGGTGATCTACTGTTCAAATACAGCACGCTCGCGAGCCCGACAAACCTTAAAAGACCGGCATTTGCTTCACAGCTGTGGTTATAGAAGTTGGGTGTTATTGGAAGTGTTCCTGGGAGTTCACAGATGTCATGTTCTGACGGTGCGTTACTAGTGTCCCAACTCGCGCGAGCTTATCTGACGAAGACCATCGCGTGGCCTGCCATTTCTAAACCTGAATATTTTCCTCTTTCCGCTCGTAAAATCCTACGAGAAATGTCCTCACGTGCCGGCCACCACCGCCAACACCGACCACCGTACCACGCTCGCCACTCTCACAAGCTGCCGCGCTGGCCAAATTCTTAATCGCCTCAATTGGCTCGCCTAGCTGCGATTGATATCGATCTTCGATCGCAGCTGGCACCGGTCTCGTCCGCTGCCATTACATGAAGCCGTGGGTTTGCAGAGTTCAGTGAGCATATCGAGGGAAGCAATCAGTGAGAAGGGTTGTTTGGGGTCAGTGGTTCCGCCGTCCATTGTTTCGGTTTCGGTTCCGCTGTCGAAGCGACGACAATGGAGTCTAAATTAGGCGATTTGCCTTGCATGGAGCGTCGCAGACGTGACGCTGCATCATGCATACGTTTATGTCAGTGGGGTATACGCTCGTGCGTGGTACGGAACCTATACTGGGACCGAATCAAGACCGCCAACAGCCAGGCACTCTACGGGATTCATACTAACCATGTTCCGCCATGCCTACCTCATGATGACGTGACTAATGCCAGATTGACTAAGCCATCTGTTGTCAAAGGTGCCTTTCAAATGACTTTTTCTCAGAATGCGACTTTCGACCCGGCCATAAAGTATAACGTTCGCATTATGTAACGCTTCACGCCTGTCAGTACAGCCCAGAAGGCAGGCAGGTCCCACGCCCGAGCCGGGTGCTATAACACGCGCGCGAAGACCTGGGACCGAGTGGTACGGCTCTGAGTGGGTTGTATTGACAGTTTCAAGATAATCTCAAGGGTGCCTTTAGCCACGCTTTCGTGATTTCCGAAGCGTTGTCAAGGTTCAGCTTTTCTTCACTCACGTGACGCCAAAAATACATCAGTGTCGTGAACGGTAGATACAAGAGTGCTATATATTTGGCTGCCTCGCATCTTGACGCAAAGTCGATAACGTGCTATCCCTTTCCGCAGGAGCGAACCGCATTGGGAGCTCCTTCCAAATATTCCACATGTCTGATGACATCCCCTGTCCGGTGACCGGTGACGTCATCTGTGCACCTCAGTGACCGGCCGCGCGACAAAATACGGCATATGTCTTGAAGAAAAACAAGCCGCGTGTCGGGATACCAAGCGGGTTTTGTCTGTGAGCGGCCGTGCAGCGGACTGGAGCGACAGCCTCCGGACGTGCGCCGACGAGCGTTCACTTCACACCTCACATCGGTCTCACATCCCACACCGACCTCACCCCTTTCACATCGACCTGACGCCTCACATCGACCTCACACCTTACATCAACGCCACACCTCACATTGGCCTCACACCTCACATCGACCTCACACCTCACATCAAGCTCACACTCCACATCGACCTCACACTCCACATCGACCTCACATCTCGCATGAGCTGCGCCGGCGGCGCGTCCGGCGACAGCGTCGGCCGCCACGCGGCGGAGGCCTTGCCTCGTCATTGCGATCGCGCGCCGTTGTGTACGCTAGATAGTCGCCGTTGGCTCCCGTCCCATTACGTCACCGAGTGTTGGCGGCGGCGCAGCCGGCACAGCGCTGCCGACGGCCGAGTGCGCCAGGCGCCGCTCCAAGATCGCTGCCAGGCTCACTCTCGCCCCGCTGCAACCGGGCCCGGCGCTGTGTCGGCTTGGGAGGGTGACTCCAGTGCTCGACGGTTGACCTGTCGCGCAAAGTCCGGGTGGTGATCGAGTCGTGTCTTGTCGTGTCTCACGGTGTCTGGCCGTGTCTGCTAGTGTCTGGCGGCGTCTGGCGGTGTCTTGGCGGGGTGCAGACCATTCCAGGTCGGCGCGCTGCCCGACCGCTGCCAGACGTGGGAAGCACCCTGATTGTTCCGCGGGTAAGCGCCACAAGTGTCATGGTCAGCCACCGTGCCGCCAATAGTCGCTCGACCGTCTCGGCCGACGACCAGCGCCCGCCGGCCAGCGGGGAGCGCGTGCCGGGCTTGCGAGCTGGTGGGTCGGAGGGCAGAAGCCGCCTCCCCCTCCCGACGCCCCGGAGCATGACCGGCACCGAACACCGGGGTGACGAGGCGGCGGACGGAGACGGCACTCCCGACGACGCGCCACGGTCGGGGACAGTCGGCGGCCGGGTGGCGCTGAAGCCTCGCAGTCACGAGCCCGAGGCGAGGAGCGCGAGTCGCGAGTCGATGGCCTCGACCCTGACAGACGAGCCCGCTCGCGAGGCGGCAGCGAGCCCGAGTCACGAGTCGCCAGCGGCAAGCGTTGGCGACGAGACGGCCCGTCAGCCGACGGCGGGGCAGGCGGCGCCGCTCGAGCCGCCGGTGGAGGACTCCGCCTACAGCTGGGTGATCGCCGGCGCGGCGGCGCTGCAGTTTGTGCTGGTCGGCGGCATCCACAAGTCGTTCGGTCTGGTGCTGGCGGCGCTGGTGCAGCGCCACGGCTTCACCGCCGCGCAGGTGTCCATCATCCCGGCCACGTACCTTGCGGTCAGCTTTCTCGTGGCGCCGCTGTGCGGGGCCCTCTGCCGCCGGCTCTCCGAGCGGAGCGTGGCAGTGCTCGGCGGCCTGTGCTCCACGCTGGGGCTCGCCCTCAGCGCGCTCACCAGCGACGTCCACCTCCTCTACCTTACCAACGGGCTCATCTTCGGTCTAGGCCAGGGCTTTTCCAACGTGCCCGGCACCCTGCTTGTGACGCAGTACTTCGTGAAGCGACGTGGTCTGGCGAATGCCATCATGGCTGCGGCGGCTGCCGTCGGTGGCGTGTTCTTCCCACTGCTGGTGCAGCTGCTGCTGGAGGAGTACGGCATCACCGGCACGTACCTCATGCTGGGGGGCTTGCACATGCACACGCTCGTCTCGGCGGCGCTGTACCGGCCGCTGGAGAAGCAGCGGATGATCATGCGGCTGGACAGGAGGCGGTGCTCGAGGAGACTGAAGACGGCCGACAGGGCCAGCGCACCGATCCAGGACGAATGCAACAAACAGGCGCTGGTTAACGGCAATGACAACGGAGCTGGCGCCGTCGCCTCTCAGCCAAACGGCGCGACTCACGTGGGCCCGGCGGCCGCGGCGCTGGTGAGCCGCGCGCGGCTGTCGGCCTCAGTCGTGCAGCTTGACCCGCAGGACGAGCCCACCGCCCGCCGCTGGTCGACAGCCGGCGGCGAACACACCAAGGCGGCCGAACAGGAAGCGCTGATGGCGCCGGCGCCGCGCCGCCGCGCCAGCACCGCTCTCAGCGTCTCGTCTGCCTGGCTGAGCCAGCTCAGCCTGATGGCCCAGCTGCCGCCAGCGCCGGCAGCGCCAACCGGCTGCTGGGCCCAGCTGTCCCGCCTGCTCGACCTGCGCCTGCTGGCTGACCCACTGTACCTGGCCTGCCAGCTGAGCGTGCTGCTCTTCTCCGCCGGACTGCCGCACGTCTGCCTGCTGGTGCCGCGCTTCGGCCTCGAGATCGGCATCAGCCGAGGCCGCACTGCCAACATGATCGCCACCGTGGCGCCCATCGACATCCTCAGCCGGCTGTCCCTCGGCCTGCTGCTCGATCGCAACCTCTTCCACAAGCGGTACGGCTTCTTCATCACCTGCCTGGTGGGCGGAGCGGGCATTCTTGCGCTGGTGTTCGTCCGCACGTACGCCGGTCTGTACGTCGCCTGCACGTTCGTCTACGCCGGCATCGGCTTCTTCTTCGTGGTGATGCCGGTGATGTACGCCGAATACTACGGCGTGGGCGCCTCTCGTCCACGCTCACCATGTCCAACATGTTCGCGGGCGTGGCTAACCTGGTGGCGCAGCCGCTGTGTGGTTTGCTGCGGGACTCGACCGGCTCGTTCCGACCCGTGTTCGGCGTGCTGGCGGCGTGCATGCTGACGGGCGGGGCTGTCATGCTGACGCACCCCTGCATTGAGCGGGCGCGGCCGCGGAGAGCGGGAGGCGAGCAGGCCGCCTGATAACGGCGGGGGGGGGGGGGACCGGCGGACCGGCCGGCAGTGCGGGAGTGGACCGGCGGACCGGCCGGCAGTGCGGGAGTGGACCGGTGGACCGGCCAGCAGTGCGGGAGGGACCGGCGGACCGGCCGGCAGTGTGGGAGGGGACCGGCGGACCTGCCGGCAGTGCAGCTTCCAGAGCGGGAGCTCTTACTGCTCGCTCACTGAGCACGACAGCTTAGCGTGTGACTGTGATAAGTCATGAACTGAAGCAGAACGCCGTGGGAGTTAGTAATCAGTGGTATGAAGCGCCTATCTTTTTATGAGCCGATGACTTCAGGCCAACAACCAGCCGAGCGTGCCCGCGAAGCCCGCATCTCGCGGGCATGGGCTCAGAGCACACCTCGTGCCATGGCTTCTAGCTCGGGAACCTGCCAAGTCAGCGGCACAAGTGTCTGAGAGACCACACCTGCGTGCTCTCCATGACAATAACATGGTCAGTCGGCTTCCGTGTTACAGGCTAAGAGCGGTCGTAATCGGCGAAAGCCTCGTATGACTCATTGGATCCAAGGGACAGACTGAGCTTTGGTGGCGACGCCGGTGATCTGTGATGGTGATGTCGCTGATCTGTGGCGGCGATGGCGGGTGATCTGTGATGGCGATGCCGCTGATTTGTGGTGGCGGTGTCGCTGATCTGTGGTGATGATGCTGCTATGTGTGGCAGTGATGCCGTTTATCTTTGGTGGCGGTGTCGCTGATCTGTGATGGGGGATGCTGCTATGTGTGGTAGTGATGCCGTTTATTTTTGGTGGCGATGTCGATGATTTTTGGTGCGTTGATGCCGCTGATCTGTGATGGCGATGTCTAAGGTTATCGATTCGTATTCTTTTTTGAGGACCCTGGCTCCTCCCCAATGTGCATTTACCCCCTCCGCCTCCCCACCAAATCCAATATTGGTTTGGGCGCCACAATATTTTTTTTGCCTGAAGTATTAGAAACGCGTACGGAAAAGTTGGCCATCACATAACGACAGCCTTCTTTGATGGTCGCAGTGAGGTAGCCACGGAGGGTGCAACGGGGTAACTAGACCTTGCAACCTGAAAACTGTTCCACGGAATTGGTAACTAAAATCATCGATAGCGAAGCATTTGTCATCTAAATTTGTGGTTGTTTTGTCTGTCAAAAATAAGCCCAGACGCTGTCTCTACCCACAGCCCAGACATGATCTTGACGCTAGTAATTCCCCCGCCTCGTGGTCTCTTATGAGACATTAGGTACCTTTGGTCCCCCAACCCCACCCATGGTGGGGTACGAACCTAACATTTTTTTACTTGAAGTTGAAGCCTGAAGTGCCTTATTCCAAGATCTCACGAGAAAGCAACGTCGGATAGTATGTTTCTGGCGCGGCGTCATTAGTCCAGGTTAAAGGCCCGTTCAGCTATAACATGATGACGATGCAATAAACACAAGCCTTGCTCAGACGAATTCTAAACTTGCTTCTGCGTTGAACATGGTTTATTGCCAGCTCTCTGAATATAGGATCCATCGTTGTAATGTATGCTCAACGGATCCATTTTGCCACGGTCGTCATCCGAATAATACGAAAGGACCTTTAGTGTGTCATACGGCCACACGATTATCGGCTGGCCTGTTGCCAGACTGATGCTATCAAGCCAAAGGTCAAGCGGCCCTTTTCGACGAGTCATGCTCGAACACTTACTCTGTAAAGTGAGCCTGTCACCACGCGTTTCCCCACATCACGAATGTGGTCAGTATAAGTTTAGCATTCTACCGAAGTTGGACTTCCGTCACGATGATTGGTGTGTCTTCGCGGCAATAAAGATCTTTTTGCGAGCATTTTACTCATTGCAGTCAACTGGTTCGCAGAGAGGTTGGCGCCTGCAAACTGCCCCCATACTGACGATCTTTGTCAAGAGATATCACCACTGACCTCGAAAGCAATCAAGGATAGATATACTCGGATGAACGCATGACACCATTAATTGGGATAATGATGCTGTTTGTTTAATTCCTTGCGCTTTTTCGGTTGCCGTATTAGGACACAATTGTACATTTATCTAGAATCCTGTGGCCAATTTGTTTTATTTTTGTTTAAGCTGTGTACTTTTATCAATGTGGAATTTTGTCATTCATACAGATACGGCTGCACCATAAGCGTTAGCTGCTGACACCGATTTATTTTCACACACTCAGGCAAAAAAGCTAGCGAATTTCGTGCCACGTCTCGAGCGTTTTCAATGCCAAATCTGCCCAGAATTTGTCGAATGTTGGCAAAACACAACTGGAAAGTGAATGAGCCAATGGAAGCGTCCGTAAATTCCAAATGCATTCCATATATGTACATACAAGACGCCGTTGGTCGCCATGTCGCGTGCTGGATAGCATCGGGTTGCACTTCAATAAAGCCCAACACCAATGTAGTCTCGACGACGAAAGGGAATGTGAGGTTCGAGCGAACAATGATCCTGTAACCTGAAAGCACGAAATGTAAACGTCGCTCATTTAATGCTGTTATATCTTCGCTTCGTGTCTAAAAGCAGTATAATGCCAGCAGATAATTTGAATGATGGAGATGAGCCAAGGTGATGGACGGAGGGCCGTGGCCATACGGCCACTGTGCATTCCTTGCACGACCTCTACAGCCATAGCAATCCATTGAGAATTTAAGATTTTTGGATAATTGGACCCTCTCAGAGGTTTCACCTCGGAACCTAATAGACCTACGTCTTTTGCTTTAGCACGCGGCGGACCGTCCTACATGTGACAGCTTGGCATTCATGGCTTCCAGAAGTTGTTAACTTTACCGTTTGGAACAGCTTGACATCACCAAACGATGAACTTCCAAAATGTCACGAGTGAAAATATCCAGATATAAATAACATTGGGTCGTGAAAAAGTCTGTTAATAAAAGGCCAAGGCTCGCGAGGTAGTTGGGCCCATTGCACCTTCGGGCGCCTTCAGGTGCAACAAAACATTACGAACCTTCCATAGCGTGCAACCAAATGCTGATGTCTCTTCTGCTTTAAATTCATTTTTGCGACATGCTTGTGCATGTATACCACAATGCACTTTTACTCAGGTAGATTTTGTGTCCTTGAACTCTTTTGTAGATTTACTTTTGCCCTGACCCTTCAACGCTGTATCCTTGTACTGTCTTCTGGTTCAACTTTTATCCCTGTCGACTTTTGTCCATTTCAAATTTTTGTCCTTCAACTTTTCTCAGCTTTTACTTTTAGGCCTATAGACCTGCATCTCGTCCGACGTTTTGTGGTTATACCATTTCGTTCGGGTTTCTTGGCAATCTACTCTGATCCCTTTTGATGTTAAGTCCGACAATGTTTTCGATCAGACTTTGCCCCCGTTGACTTTTATCCCATTTGGCTATTTTCGGTCGACTTTTTCCGCCCGACTTTTTCCATTAGACATTTTTGTGCGGCAAGCACACGGGGTACGCACCCGGCGCGCGCGCGAAGCTCCACCAGTAACCAGCCCGATGAAGAGAGCATGACGTACAATTGTGGCGTAGTGAGTGACTTCTCAAGCTTTTACTTCCATTCCGGTTGCATGGAGTAAAAGGTAGCTTTTTAATTCAACGACCGCAAAATTCCACTATTTGTGGGGACATTTGAATTAAGGAGCTATTTCGTACCTTGCCAAGCATCCATCGGGTTTTTTAAACGTACTTGACTTGACCATGGAGCAGACATTCACTCCGAAACTGACTAAAACAAAAAGATGCTCTGGGCCGTCGTAAAATCAGCAGTGATCATAGAGGAGCCAGTGCACGGCCATGCAGAAATGGAGGGGCAGAACGTTTAGACCGAGAACTAGTTGAGATGACGTTTTTTACGACGTTTAGACTGAGAGCTGGTTGATCTGCTGGAGATGTCAGCCAACTTCACCTCAGCTCATGGGCATCGCCTCGAGCTCTTATGTCCCACTCACTTAACACGGTCAATCGCTGGCCCGGCACGGAATCGCATAATTAAATATTTTGCTTAAATTGTCACCGACAGCGGCATCCTTTGAATATGGCGCGGAGAGACACATTCAATACACATTATAAATTGTCGTTTGAGCAGAGGGCAGAGCTAGCCAGCCGGTGGCCGGTGGCGAGCCGGTGGCCGGAGCGGGAGAACCAACAAAGACGGAAAGCTATAGTTCTACACCATGTCGAAGGCGAAGCCCGAGCCATGTGAAGAATCAGCGGCAAATGCAGGGTCAAAGTATACTTGAAAATACAGTGACCTACCACGAAAGCGCTTGTTCTCCCCAAAGACATTGTGCTCAAAAGGGCAGACCTGTACTGATTGTAAGATGACTTGCAGGATTGTTCTGTTCTGTTCTGATTGTTCTGTTCTGTTCTGATTGTTCTGCTCTGTTCTGATTGCTCTGTTCTGTTCTGATGGTTCTGTTCTGTCCGGATTGTTCTGTTCCGATGGTCTGCATTGGAGAGAATGATCGAAATTCAGTGGAGAGAAGAAAGCAACACAAAACATCTCACTCAGCCTGACAGACATGCAAGGATAGAGGCTACTGCTGCCACATGAACACAGGACACACTATCGACTGGTACAACGCAGAGGGGCCAGCATTTGACATGCTTAGTGAACATAGATAAATTAAGAGGGCTTTCCACTACACGTGCGAGCAGTACGCAAACAAACACTCAACAGGAATGTAGGTAAGCGCGCAGTTTACGCGAGATGGCTCAATCTGTTGAAGTTACAAAAGCGTTGTTATCTAAAACAAGTAGTAATTAAGTTAAGTTGAGTTAGTTAAGTTCACACGATAGCAATTCTGCCGATTGTAATGGTGTATCATAATTGGTCTTGTATTGTATTATATTGTACTACATTGTATTGCACCACGTGTTGGCTCATCCACCCACACTGATGGCTATTCAAGAGACTGGTCCACATTTATATGGGGTTTTGAACTGAGATAGACTTTGTCACCATCATTCCCTTCAGTTACCAGCCAAGTCCTTTTCAATGGTTCAAATTCTCTCGCATTTGGTCCTTATGCACGCGGAGATGTGCGGCACATCACGCACCGCCCATGGGAAAGCCACCCATATGTGTATGACGTCATAGAAACGTCATGCCACGGCCCCACCTCAATGGCCGTGTTATGCTCATGGCACAGAAAAAGAAAATCACTTAAAAGGAGCGTTCCTCCTTTTTTGTATTTGGTACCTATTGTTGCATCAGATGCGTACGATTCGGTCACCAACACCAGTTTTCTGGAATCCTTCTGACTAGCTCAGAATTTCGATATGAAGCAACTCACCTTGCTGGAGAAATCTTATTTGACTCCACGCTCACCAATATCAAAAGTAATGCATTTCAATGGGCTTTAAGTTGATATCCTTATGTCGTGACGGCGGTGTAGTGAAGCCACCCAATGCTATCAAAAGACAAGTTGTGAGGTTTTGCTAGAGCATGTTTTTGAAATATGCCCCAAAGGTAAAGCACTTCTTTTAAATGCAAGTGTTTCGGGTGATGCTGCACCAGGTATCGCAACGACGAGAGTCAATCGGGTAAAATTCGTTTCGCGCTGCTGATCTCGCCGCTAACTGTATAAATCGATGACAAACTACGTTTCACAATAAGCAACACAGCCTTATGGGCAGCTACTAGATATCGCGGACATGATGTTGATAATCGAATAACTTTTAGCTCCGTAACCAAAAATGCAAGTGCAAGTGGGGAAGACGCAGTCACGGAAAAATACCCAAGAGTGAGACAAGAAAAGATCAAAACACACGCAAGTAATGCTCGCTCGTTGAAATCGTACGCATCAGCCGCCAACGCAACCTTACGGCGGACGTGCCAGAAGTGAGGCACGCCGTCCGCTACAGCGGCAACTCTTACGCGACAAGGCTGGCAGCACCTCTGGCCCCCTAAAAATGGCCCATCACCCAATCAAATGATGGTGCGTTTAGTACATGCTCATTGAGTAGTGAAATTCCGTTCTTTGGAGCAGACTTTTGGCAATTCACTGTCGATTTAATCGTTCTAGTCGCTGGATGTGCAAGGTGTTGGCTGTCGGAGTTAGTCATTCTCAGTCGCTCGGTCGGTGCAAAGGAGGCCCACTGCTGAGGGGGGAGGGGGGCTGAAGGGCTACGCGGCGCGGGCCTGACATTAGAGCGGGCGGTGCGGCATGCTGGTGGTGGGCAGATGAATGAACGAAGATTCGTACAACATGAGGACAGGCAGGTGAATCTAAATGTATTTCAGTTTTTTATACAACGTTCGTAAGCTCATCATGCGTTGTGAATATGTGATCGGCCCCATCGTATCCAGAGCTGCGATTTGATATGCGACAAACATACACGTCCCAAGACAAAAGACATCCAGCTAACGCGAAGTGTTTCCGTCTTTTTTACTCCAAGTGGGCTATACAGGAATAATCAAGCATGATTTCTGCAAAATAAATATCACAAGCGATCCGGTCAGATCAATGGCTCTCCAATGAGTGGTGACATCACGTGCCTGGTTATTTTACAACACAGGCCTGTTTTCGGAGACCGGAATGTTGGTGGTCGCATGCCGCCCCCACATGGTGCAAGACGGTGTGATTGAATGACAATATTTCGGACGTGTTCTGTTTCCCGCGAGAGTGAATGCAGCTTTAAAGGGAATGTTTCACATTTGAATGTATTGAAGCAAGCATCAGATATGATGAAACGAGCACACTTTCAACTACCAGTATACTTTTTCAGTGCAAGAGGCTGCTCTAGACAGCGCAATTCTCGGTTTAGTAAATATGTCCTTCAATGCGTCATGGTTTGATTACATCATCGTACCTTCCACACCATTGATTGAGAGCCAGTTGACGGCCCTTATGCTGGATATGAAGGCCTCGACAGATATATTTTTTCTTAGCATTGATCACCAGATGGCTTATGTAATGACATTATTAGAATGGCGTTATTATGACGTTATGAATGCCAAGGTGACCTCGGAATGCTCTCCCCGATATACATTTTCCCAATCAGCAAGCAAGCAAGTACTAACATTAGACGAGGTATTATTGGGATAAATGATCAACAAACTCTGATAAATAGACATTATCGCACACGGCAGTCACGGATGTACCCAAAATGCATCACTTTTAAAGAAAACAACTTCGGCAAGCATGTACAGCGCACAAATACCACAACACCGGCGAGCGCGAGCGGAAAATGGCCGCCTCCGGGCGATCCCATTTTTTCCAGAGGGGTGCTTATTGTCAATCGGCAGTGCGCTCGGCCAGGCGCGCGGCCTTCCGCCCGAGGCCTGACGCGCCCAGCCGGCGACGCGCTTACGCCAACCCCGTGGAAGCCGACGGGCTGCAAAGCGCCACGCTCGCGTTTGTTATGTTGCGTTATGCTCGCCAGGTGGCAGCAGCAGCGCGTTGAAGAGGGCGGCACCAGCAGCGACACGCTTTGAGCTCGGGGCCTCATTCATAACGTATCCTCAGTCTGGCAACGCAATCGCCAGGCAGTCAGTCGGACAGTCAGTCAGCCAGCTTGCCACATTGCAATGTTTGAACTGCGAGCTTCCACTAAACTCTAGACCACGGTGTGATGAGTGCTCATCCCCCTAAATTCTGGGACGGGGCAGGGTGAGGACTCATCCCATTCAAGTCTAGTGAAGGACGGGACCCCACCCAACTAAACTCTAGGGCAGAGCGTGGTGAGGGTTCATCCCACTAAACTCTAGGGCAAAGCAGAGTGAGGACTCATCCCACTAAAGTCTAGGGCAGGACGGGACCCCATCCCACTAAACTCTAGGGCAGGGCGGGGTGGGGACTCATCCCGCTCAGCTCTGGAGTGGTGCTGGGCTGAGTGGGTTGCGGTGAAAGTACCCATAGAAAAAGTATGCATGGCAATTGTTCGTTGCATTAGGTTCGTATGCCTCATGTTATCAATATAGAATACGTGGAGTGCAGTGCTCATACCGGCATAAGTTCATGAAATAAATATTACGCATGCACAGAGATCTTATCGTAAAATGTTCACGGCAAAAGAGGTCATATTCGTACCAGCAAAAGTTCGTGTGACGTTATGTGATGAGCGGGTATTTGTACGCAGATGTTTGAGCGCGAATGTTAGCCAGGACTAATGTTCGCTTAGCAAAAGTACGTAAGCGGCGATTTGTACTTCGATGTTTGATGAAAGAATGCCAAGCTTTATGTAAATATTCACGATGAATGAAGTTCGTTTCACCTTAGTGCGTGCGCGCAGATCTTGGTATGCAGATGTGTGCGATACGTTCGAATGCAGATATTAATCGCTCGTGCCTGGGCCTCGGATGAAATGGCATTTCGAAGGTCATTACATCCAGCATATGGGATAGCGGTGGAAGGCAGCAATTGCCGAATGTCAGGCCAAATATTATGACTAGTTGAACTCTTACGTAAGTTGTTAGTGTATTTGCGAATAGTGTTGTGCACATAGATAAGACAGTAGTGATAGCCTTATTCCTCGGAGAAAAACCAGGAGAATGGAGATATAGATGGGTTGATATTTCGGCAACATGCCTTTATCGAAACAATAGCAGTTCAATCAAATAGCGGTTCAATCGAAACAATAGCATTTCAGTTACATGTCATGAAGAGTTCAACTAGATAAGACAGAAGTAGTAGCCTTATTCCTCGGAGAAAAATCAGGGAGAATGGAGATATAAATGAGTTGATAGTTCGGCAACATGCCTTTATCGAAACAATAGCAGAACATTCTATGATTGTTTCGATAAAGGCATTGTCAAAATATCAAGCCACCTATATCTCCATTATCACAAATACACATCCGCGTGCACCAGACCTGTTATAAATTACTGCGACTCCATCCACAACGGACGCATCGCAATGCAGGACGGGACCGGACCTTGAAGCGCTACAAAACAGGGCTACGAGTCTGGTGACCGGGGGGGGGGGGGGGAATGGGTCTCTTCAGGGCGCCATCCGGGGCTGGTTGGGGCAGTTGGAGCTGCCCGATATACCTCACTACTGCACAGTACAATCACAAAATTGAAATATTTTGCATTTGGGTCAACATTGGATCTGTCTCGCTTGAATTCTCATTTACTTCTTATTAAAGAAACCTAGCCGGCCAAGCAGATGGGCTAAGCTAAGGTAAGCTAAGCAGATGAGCGAACTGTACCGTCGCAGCGGCCGCAGTTTAGCAACTCTTTCTGTCTGTTTCAGACAAGATGCAAGGTGGTGCGATTTACGACGTTGCTTTTGCGCCTTTCTGATTGCGTTCATCTTTTATTGGATGCGTTATTCAATATACAGGATGATGCCGGCGTTGCGATGGCGTGTCTGAGGGCATGGGGGCGGATGAACTCGGCTGATCTTCGCGCCGAGCATCACGGCCACGCGTGGTGCGTCCGTGCCCTAAAGCTTTATCGCTCCTGTCGTAATGACACTTGACCCTCACGCCACGCCCTGGGAGGGGGGGGGGGGGGGCACTGATGCCTGATGTACCATACTGATGCCTGATGCCCATACTGATACCGCTGATCTGTGGTGGAGATGCCGCTGATCTGTGGTGGAGATGTCGCTGATCTGTGGTGGAGATGCCGCTGGTCTGTGGTGTTGCCGTTGTGTGATCGCCAACTTTTCGCACGCGTTTCTAACATTTCAGGCAAAAAAAAATACATGGGGCGCCCAAGCCAGCATTTAGGTTTAGGTGGGGGGCGGGGGGGGGGGGCGGGAGGGAGGTAACTCCACATTGGGGGAGAGGCCAGGGTCCTCACAAAAGAATACAAATCGCTAACCGTAGACATCGCCACCACAGATCAGCGGCATCAACCAACCACAAATCATCAACATCGCCACCAAAGATAAACGGCATCACCATCACACCTAGCAGCAACACCATCACAGAACAGCGACATCGCCACCAAAGATAAACGGCATCACCACCGCACATAGCAGCATCATCGTCACAGATCACCGCCATCGCCAGCACAGATCAGCGGCATCACCATCACAAATTACTGGCATCGCCGCCAAAGCTCAGTCTGTCCCTTGAATCCAATGAGTTATACGAGGCTTTCGCCGTTTACGACCGCTCTTAGCCTGTAACACAGAAGCCGACTGAGCACGTTATTGTCATGGAGAGCACTCAAGTGTGGTCTCTCAGACCCTAGTGCCGCTGACTTGGCAGGTCCCCGAGCTAGAAGCCATGGCACGAGGCGTGCTCTGAGCCCATGCCGACGAGATGCGGGCTTCGCGGCCACGCTCGGCTGGTTGTTGGCCTGAAGTAATCGGCTCATAAAAAGATAGGCGTTGCATACCACTGATTACTAACTCCCACGGCGTTCTGCTTCAGCTCATGACTTATCACAGTCACACGCTAAGCTGTCGTGCTCAGTGACCGAACAGTAAGAGCTCCCGCTCTGGAGGCTGCACTGCCGGCCGGTCCGCCGGTCCTCCCTCCCCCCCCCCCCCGCCGTTATCAGGCGGCCTGCTCGCTTCCCGCTCTCCGCGGCCGCGCCCGCTCAATGCAGGGGTGCGTCAGCATGACAGCCCCGCCCGTCAGCATGCACGCCGCAAGCACGCCGAACACGGGTCGGAACGAGCCGGTCGAGTCCCGTAGCAGACCGCACAGCGGCTGCGCCACCAGGTTAGCCATGCCCGAGAACATGTTGGACATGGTGAGCGTGGACGAGAGGCGCTCCACGCCGTAGTATTCGGCGTACATCACCGGCATCACCACGAAGAAGAAGCCGATGCCGGCGTAGACGAATGCGCAGGCGACGTACAGACCGGCGTACGTGCGGACGAACACCAGCGCCAGTATGCCCGCTCCGCCCACCAGGCAGGTGATGAAGAAGCCGTACCGCTTGTGGAAGAGGTTGCGATCGAGCAGCAGGCCGAGGGGACAGCCGGCTGAGGATGTCGATGGGCGCCACGGTGGCGATCATGTTGGCAGTGCGGCCTCGGCTGATGCCGATCTCGAGGCCAAAGCGAGGCACCAGCAGGAGAACGTGCGGCAGTCCGGCGGAGAAGAGCAGCACGCTCAGCTGGCAGGCCAGGTACAGCGGGTCAGCCAGCAGGCGCAGGTCGAGCAGGCGGGACAGCTGGGCCCAGCAGCCGCCCGGCGGCGGCTGGGCCATCAGGCTGAGCTGACTCAGCCAGGCAGACGAGACGTTGAGACCGGTGCTGGCTCGGCGGCGCGGTGCCGGCGCCGGCGCCATCAGCGCTGCATGTTCGGGCCGCCTGGGTGTGCTCGCCGCTGGCCGTCGACCAGCGGCGGGCAGGTGGGCTTGTCCTGCGTGTCAAGCTGCACGACCGAGGCCGAGAGGTGTGCGCGGCTCGCCAGTGCCGCGGCCGCCGGGCCGACGTGCGTCGCGCCGTTTGGCTGAGAGGCGACGGCGCCAGCTCGGCTGCCATTGCCGTTAACCAGCGCCTGTTTCTTGCATTCGTCCTGGATCGGTGCGCTGGCCCTGTCGGCCGTCTTCAGTCTCCTCAAGCACCGCCTCCTGTCCAGCCGCATGATCATCCGCTGCTTCTCCAGCGGCCGGTACAGCGCCGCCGAGACGAGCGTGTGCATGTGCAAGCCCCCCAGCATGAGGTACGTGCCGGGGATGCCGTACTCCTCCAGCAGCAGCTGCACCAGCAGCGGGACGAACACGCCACCGACGGCAGCCGCCGCCGCTATGATGGCACTCGCCAGACCACGTCGCTTCACGAAGTACTGCGTCACAAGCAGGGTGCCGGACACGTAGTTGCAGCCCTGGCCTACGCCGAAGATGAGCCCGTTGGTAAGGTAGAGGAGGTGGACGCCGCTGGTGAGCGCGCTGATGGCGAGCCCCAGCGTGGAGCACAGGCCGCCGAGCATGGCCACGCTCCGCTCGGAGAGCCGGCGGCAGAGGGCCCCGCACAGCGGCGCCACGAGGAAGCTGGCCGCAATGTACGTGGCCGGGATGATGGACACCTGCGCGGCGGTGAAGCCGTGGCGCTGCACCAGCGCCGCCAGCACCAGACCGAACGACTTGTGGATGCCGCCGACCAGCACAAACTGCAGCGAAGCCGCGCCGACGATCACCCAGCTGTAGGCGGAGTCCTCCACCGGCGGCTCGAGCGGCGCCGCCTGCCCCGCCGTCGGCTGACAGCCCGGCTCGTTGCCAACGCTCGCCGCTAACGACTGGTGACTCGGGCTCGCTGCCGCCTCGCGAGCGGGCTCGTCTGTCAGGGTCGAGGCCATCGACTCGCGACTCGCGCTCCTCGCCTCGGGCTCCTGACTGCGAGGCTTCAGGGCCGCCCGGCCGCCGACCGTCCCCGACTGTGGTGCGTCGCTGGGAGTGCCGTCTCCGTCCGCCGCCTCGTCACCCCGGTGTTCGGTGCCGGTCATGCTCCGGGGCGTCGGGAGGGGAGGCGGCTTCTGCCCTCCGACCCACCAGCTCACCAGCCCAGCACGTGCTCCCCGCTGGCAGGCGGGCGCTGGTTGTCGGCCGAGACGGTCGAGCGACTCTTGGCGGTACGGTGGCTGGCCTTGACACTTGTGGTGCTTACCTGCGGAACAATCAGGGTGTTTCCCACGCCTGGGAGCGATCGGGCAGCGCAGCGACCTGGAGTGGACTGCACCCCGCTAAGACACCGCCAAACGGCAGTCAGACACGGCCAGACACCGCCAGACACGGCAAGACACGACTCGGTCACCACCCGGACTTTGCGCGACAGGTCAACCGTCGAGCACTGGAGTCACCCTCCCAAGCCGACACAGCGCCGGGCCCGGCTGCAGCGGGGCGAGAAGTGAGCCTGGCAGCGATCTTGGAGCGGCGCCTGGCGCACTCGGCCGTCGGCAGCGCTGTGCCGGCTGCGCCGCCGCCAACACTCGGCGACGTAATGGGACAGGAGCCAACGGCGACTATCTAGCGCACGCAACGGCGTGCAATCCCAATGACGAGGCAAGGCCTCCGCCGCGTGGCGGCCGACGCTGTCGCCGGGCGCGCCGCCGGCGCAAGCTCATGCGAGATGTGAGGTCGATGTGGAAGTGTGAGGTCGATGTGGAGTGTGAGGTCGATGTGGAGTGTGAGGTCGATGTGGAGTGTGAGGTCGATGTGAAGTGTGAGGTCGATGTGAAGTGTGAGGTCGATGTGGAGTGTGAGCTCGATGTGAGGTGTGAGGTCGATGTGAGGTGTGAGGTCAATGTGAGGTGTACGTTGATGTGAGGTGTGGGGTCGATGTGAAGCGTCAGGTCGATGTGAAAGGGGTGAGGTCGGTGTGGGATGTGAGACCGATGTGAGGTGTGAAGTGAACGCTCAGCCGGCGCACGTGCGGAGGCTGTCGCTCCAGTCCGCTACACGGCCGCTCGCAGACAAAACCCGCTTGGTAACTCGACACGCGGCTTGTTTTTCTTCAAGCCATGTGCCGTGTTTTGTCAAGCAGCCGGTCACTGAGGTGCACAGATGACGTCACCGGTCACCGGACAGGTGATGTCATCAGACATGTGGAATCTTTGGAAGGAGCTCCCAATGCGGTTCGCTCTTGCGGAAAGGGAAAGCACGACTCTCGACTTTGCGTCAAGATGCGAGGCAGCTAATTATATAGCACTCTTGTATCTACCGTTCACGCCACTGATGTATTTTTGGCGTCACGTGAGTGAGGAAAAGCTGAACCTTGACAACGCCTCGGAAATCACGAAAGCGTGGCTAAAGGCACCCTTGAGCTTATCTTGAAGCCATCCATACAACCGACTCAGCGCCGTACCACTCCGTCCCAGGTCTTCGCGCGCGTGTTATAGCACCCGGCTCGGCCGTGGGACCTGCCTGCCTTTTGGGCTGTGCTGACAGGCGTGAAGCGTTACATAATGCGAACGTTATGCTATATGGCCGGGTCAGAAGTCTCATTCTGAGAAAAAGTCCATTGAACAGCACCTTTGACAACAGATGGCTTAGTCAATCTGGCATTGGTGGCGTCATCATGTGGTAGGTACGGTGGAACATGGTTAGTATGAATAAAGTAGAGTGTCTGGCGGTTGGAGGTCTTAGATTCGGTCCCAGTATAGGTTCCGTACCACGCACGAGCGTATACCCCACTGGCATAAACGTATGCATAATGCAGCGTCACGTCTGCGACGCTCCATGCAAGGAAATCGCCTAAATTAGACTCCATTGTCGTCGCTTCGACAGCGGAACCAGAACCGAAATAATGGACGGCGGAACCACTGGCTCCAAACAAGCCTTCTCACTGATTGCTTCTCTCGATATGCTCATTGAACTCTGCAAACCCACGGCTTCATGTAATGGCACATATATGTCTTGCCTCATTGTGTTATCACAGGTGCATTGGTATAAATCTGCCCTTTAAACATACAATAGAGATATCCACTGATTCGCATCCAGTGACGATGAATCCGCTGAGAAAGTTTGAACCCGTGCGTGGTTTATGTCCCGGCTTATCTCCACACGCCGTCGTAATGCTCGGAGTAGGTTTGTGGGGTCTGAGATGTGAATGACGGGTCCGACCGCACCCACTCGGCACTTGGCACTGCGAGTTCTGCAGGCGGCAGGGGGCAACAACGGTGAGTGATACGGTGCATGTTGCGATGTGCCAGCTGTGGCGAAGACCGTGGTCTTGGACGCGACCCAACGATGCCAACTCGCAACGGTTGTGATAGCTCTTGTGCGACTCCCCATCGCAGCATTTCTTGTGAGGGATAGTGCGGTCAGGAGCGTGTTCGGCGGGTTGAGTGACAGCGGAGAATCTGTATCAGTTGCGAGAGATGTTCTTGAGCGAAAGAAATGTGTTCTCAGCACACAGCGTGTTGATAGAAATGGAGGCAAGCGATGCAAAGCCGGTTCACAGCAATTGTCACGCGCAATAAAAGGCCAATGCTGCGCAGCAATGAAAAAGCGAAGATGTCAGCAGTTCAGACCTCGGTGAAACGCTTGAGAACGGTGAGCGGTAAGGAAATGTAAAACGCGGCATCGGAACAGGTAGAAAATGCTTGCTGTTTACAGTGACTTCGAGACGGACTGAATTTCTTGACAAATTTGTGACGAGGGTTGGTCAGTAACGTGGGTGATTTTACCTACTTTAAGGTAAAAGACGTCCTTGGATAAACGTACGCGTCACGAGGTGCGCGAGCTAACACACAACAAGACCTGCTCCGAAGTAAACACACCACGTGACAACCAGCTGATGCATGTCTGAAACGCCGGTGCAAAATTGCAAAATTGAAACGGACCGGTGCAACATTGCAACATATGCCATATAATGTCCACTCAGACTCATTTCTATGGGCACATGCTGTAAAGGCTTTTTTTCAGCAGCGCTTTACGGCTCAGCTAGACTCCGCACTGGGCACAGACAATAGCGACTACCCTTCCATGAGTCCACCTAAACCAAATGGATTTGTGAAAAATTCAACGCACAGAGGCCTCCAATCACCAATATAGCCGCCCCGTAAATCACAGACTTGAGACCGCCTACTAAGACCGACAACCAAAGACAGGCCGCCTGGTCAATGCCAGCACGGAGATCGAACAGGAAAATCAGTTCGCAGGGATCGCTATGTAAAGTGGTCACATATATACCACACCATCTCGAATCAGGACATCTGATTCCGCTCCTCACCAGCCTAGTCCACACGCATGTGGATGAATGCGATGGCAACAGCCACCGCGACCGACGCTTCATTTCAAGTGGTGAAACTGACTTGTTCAGGGGCGGTAAAGGGGAATTCAAAGGGTGGAACCGTGACGTGCAAAGAATGAGGACGACTTAGTCAAAGGGGTCAGACCGAGGAGCTCAAATGGCGAAACCAGCAAGCGCGAAGGGCAAGCGCCAACCAGCAAGCTCAAGCAGGTGGAGCCAAAAAGCTCGAACTTACCCGTTTGGCAACCGGTGTCAATGATAAGATACACCGCCCAACTAGCACAAGTCTGGCTGGGCGCGGTCGCTATGATGTTGTAATGGTGACAGAGCTTTCTGGCACAACCGGTGGCCAGCTGCTTTGAATCGAGACCCATTATCGATTTTCGAGAGGCCTTTTTTACGTCGTGAACGTCGTGGAACGTCGGATTGTCGCAACGAGTCATGATTGCAATGGGCAAATCCAATAGCCGAGTCATGATTGTGATGGGCATATTCAAGAGCCGAGCCATGACCGTGATGGGCAAATCCAATAGCCGAGTCATGATTGTGATGGGCAAATTCAAGAGCCGAGCCATGACCGTGATGGGCAAATCCAAGAGGCGAGTCGTGGCGGAGTCTCGCGCAGGTCCGACGTCGAAGAACAGCCTCGCTTTCCCGGCGGCGATTCCCGATCAGTGCCAGCTGGACGCTTAGCCACTGGTGCCGATTAGGGATTTCGACGGCGCGGTGGGTTTTCAGCGTGGCGGACGTGGTCCACGGTCCGGTGGTGGCGGTTGATGGCGGCCTCTGCCTCGTCCGCGGTCCGTGGTTCTGTCGACGGCCATGGGCCAGCGGACGAGACCGGTGCCAGCTGCGATCGAAGATCGATATCAATCGCAGCTAGGCGAGCCAATTGAAGCGATTAAGGATTTGGCCAACGCGGCAGCTTGTGAGAACGGCGAGCGTGGTACGGTGGTCGGTGTTGGCGGAGATGGCCGGCACGTGAGGACACTTCTCGTAGGATTTTACGAGCGGAAAGAGGAAAATATTCAGGTTTAGAAATGGCAGGCCACGCGATAGTTGTCAGGTACGCTCGGGCGAGTTGGGGCACCGGTAACGCACCGTCAGAACATGACATCTGTGAACTACCAGGAACACTTCCAATAACACCCAACTTCTTTTGTCACAACTGCGAAGCAAATGCCGTTCTTTTAAGGTTTGTCGGGCTCGCGAGCATGGTGTATTTGAACAGTAAATCACCATCACATGTGTCCTTCATTCGGTTTTTCTGCGCGCTTCATTTTCCATTGTATTTCGCTTCCGAATCATTGACATAAAACATGACCATGATTAGATTACTCTACAGCGGCACCAAACCTAAGCACTCAGAAAGATTTCAGTCTATTTCACTAAACAGTGATCTCCCTGAAAAATGTCGCATCATCACGGGACCCGCGTGTAGGTTTCTCACATATCAGACGCTCTGCCATCAGTCGTCAGTTCTCCAAACAGCATGATCTGGAAACACCTCCAATGTCATAAGTTAAACAAGAATCGAACACTGCGGGGGATTTTATTCACAACCCGCAACAAAAATACAGCGAGAAACACGACAGCAACCTCCCATGACCACCGTGCAGCTGGTGCCGAGTAACCAGGGATCTTGGAGACAACGGTCGGAGACAAGAGTTTTGAATTACTCAATACGTCTCCTACCAAAGATGTGCTTGTGCTCAAACAAAGCGTTGTTCATATCCATGCACATTGGTTAAG